ACAGAGCCACCAACCTCCAGAGATCTGGTACTGGACCAGGCTGCCCAGGGTTCCATCCAACCTGGCCTTGAACACCTCCAGGAATGGAGCATCCTCAGCCTCTCTGCAAAACATGTTCTGGCACCTCACCGCTCTCTCAGTGAAAAACTTCCCCCTGACATCCAATCTAAACCTTCCCTCCTTTAGTTTAAAACCGTTCCCCCTTGTCCTGCCGCTGTCTAACTGCATAAAAAATTGATGTTCCTCATTTCGTATTATTTTTTTGTTATCACATATTTTGCTATAAAAAGAGCTCCTTCCAGGCAGCGTGCCAAAGTTGACACAGAGGAACCCCAGGTCAAACTGGGGTCAAACTGCAAACATCATCTTGTGTCATAAGAAACAGGGTTTCCTCCAGCTCTGCTTCTTGGGCTCTGTGGTAAAACCAGCATCCAGGTAAGGTCCTCTTTGTGGCATGGGGCACATCTGCGGAAGGAGCTCTTCAACCTACTGGCCATGTCAGGAATAGCTGTGGGATCACAGCTAAGAACATTTTCTGCAGAGGTGTGGGTCAAAAATCAGTTTCACCCATGAAAATGGCCATTAAGTTCTTTGAATAATGTCACTGGATCCGTCAGAGTGCAGGAAAGATTTATATTCAGAGATGTAACAATGTAGTAAGAGCAGTATGTGATGATTTTGCTGGTTTTGGCCTATACTAGCAAACAAGAGTATTTGTTTAGATGACGATAATTGGAATAGCATGAAAAAATTCCAAAAATAACTCTTTTTTTTTTTCTTTTATTTATTTATTTTTTTTCAGGAAACTGTTTCTCTGAAGGAAATTGCTCTTCAAGGAGTGGCACTAATTTTCAATTACTTTTTCATTCCCTGCTTCTTTTTTAAGCACGGTGGTTGAGAACCAGAACTTCTTTTCAAGACTTTGAAGTGCACAATGTTGTGTGCAGATTTTTCCTCTCTTTTGTCACCAGAAAGTCTTCTCCCATGTAGATGTTGACTTCCTTGCTCACGGCACCCAATAAAATTCAGGTTTTTTTTTTTCCCAAGGACAGCTTTCTCTCCAAAAACATTAAGAATCATAATAATATCAGAGAAAAGCTTTGCCTTTTGAAAATAAGTTCTCCTCCACCTGCCCAAGGTTTTCTTGCTCTTTCTGAAGTGGATAAAGATTTAATGAGAGGAAAAACCATGAACTCTGAGTAGGAAACCAGAATCTTCCCATGAAAGTAATTCTAAAGAGACTTCTTTTGCATTTTTTTTTTTTTTTCAATACAGTAATTGAAAAAAAAAAACAACCAAACAACCAACCAGACCTCCTTAGTTTCCTTAGCAGTTATAGCTCTATTATTTCTCTGAGCCATCTTGGAAGATTTGCTCAGACAAGATGGAGGCAAACCAACTTAAATTTATTCCCAGCACCTGTGCAACGTGGCACAGAGCCGTACATTCCGTGATAGGCAGTGGAGATAATTGCTGTGACATCCTTCCTTTTTAGCACCAGATTGCCATAGCATGGCTGCTTTCATCGTGGAAATACATTTCACTCCCTTTGCACGGCTCCATGCGTGCACTGCATGGATCCTCCAGTATCCAGGGTCGAAACACAATCTTCTCCTTCTACATCTTTCCCCAAGGCCTATTTGTGTTGCTATTCCATGTTATTGCATGTAGAATGCAATGGGAGGAGAAGGAAGCATGTGCGTTCCAGGGAGCCCAAGCTGACACTACCCCTCTCTCCATATCCAGCTCTTCCATATGCAAACTGATGCGTTTCCAATTTCTGCTGAAACTGGCCCTTCTGCCAGCAACCTGCTCTGCCCTCAGGCAGCCCATCCCCAGGGTCTTGCACCCCAAAGCACTTGGCTTTGTGTTTGGCTGAAGCTTTGTTCTCCTTTCATCTTGCCTTCATCATTTACAGTTCTCGTTTGTAGCCAGCCAGCATTTCCAACCTGACAATTAACGGCTGCAATTAAGAGTTGCAGAGGTAGGTGTTTCCCCTCCAAAGGGACCCAATGTTTTCCATGCTGAACATGAGATAGATTCCCACTGAGGGAACTAATTTGTGCTGCTAAATTAATGCAGCTTGAATATTGTCCTTGTGATCTGGCTAGCTAAATTTGGGATAGAAGTCTAAAAAGTTGCACAGTATTTAAAAAACCTGCATTTCTACCTCTTCAGTGACATCCCAAATTTCTGCCAAAAGTGAAAAAACACTTGAATTTTACATGACAGGAGCACTGATTCTGCTCTTAATCAGTTCAGAAAATGAGGTAGACTATGAGGAAAATCAGCAGATACCCAGTAAGTGTTTATTTAGGGGGAGGATTGTTAGATGAAAGGTAGGGATATCGGGGTTCTCTATAGAACACAGCCACAGAAGTGACAGTACTAAGTAGACAGTGCATTAAGATGTTTCTATTGAGCTCTTTTAGGTAATGATGGAGTAGTAGAAGCTGGGAAACAATGGATAAAGATGATCTAGACCTGGATGGAAAAAAGATACCAGCAAAAAAATCAAAACAAATTGTCAATTACACAGTGCATTTCCACTGAATTCAGAAACACTGCTGGTATTTAATAATGACACTTTATTCCTTGTGCAGCAAGTGCCAGTATGAAATTAAGGGTGGAAATATTTATTCTACAAATACGACTATGTCTCAGCCTCTGTAGTGAAAAATATGTTTAGATACTGCTCTGCTTGTTGCTAAAAGTGATCTAATGTCATAAGCGAAGCAAGAAAAGCCTCCAACAATGTCTGTCTGGTGATGAGAAATGATTAATATAATACCTGCTGGAACAGCTTCGAAGGCATCCCCAGGACAGCTGGATGGATTGTACACTACACAGGGATGTAGCAGCGTGCAAATAAAACAATGAAGAATAAGGAAGTGTTATTGATAGAGATTATTTCTCCCCTTTCTTGATCATAACAGTTTTATATCTTTGTAAAAATGAATCCTTGACTGTAATGTGGTCTCTGGGAGTTGTATTTATTCTGTTTATTGGTGTGAGGAACTTATTGTTTTGCATAAATTATTCATGTGAATTAGACATGCTTGTGATATTCACATTATTTGTATCTGGAGGGATGGGTGGTAGGAAGCCACCAGTGTACTTCTATTTGTTTATTTGCTTGTCTTGTGGAAAGTGATTGGGAATCGTGGGGCATGAGAAAATCCCAACACTAATGTCATCCTGTTGTGCACTCCATCAAATGCTCCTGGACACAGAGCAGTGAGGGTACTGGGGCATCTCCATCACATGTGTCACAGCACTGTGCAGAGCCTCCCTGTACCAGCACTGATGAAGCTCCATGGTGGCACAGCAAAGGCTCTCCAAGTGTCACAGCCACGTGGGAAGAATGGCTTTCCAGTTGGTTTTTCATCCTCTTACAGCAGTTTACCTGACTGAGTCATGATATCGTTGTGTTTGGTGATGTGCAAATTCTTGTGCAAGTCAAAAATATGACACAGGTCACTTCTTTCCAAGCCTTGACTGCTTCTACCTTCCAATGAGTGGTTAATGGATTCACCTGCTTCATTCATAAAAGCACTATTAGCTACAGATGCTTTCTTGATTTAAGATCTCTGACCTCTGCTGCCCTGGATCTAATATTTATTTCACACTTAAATGCACTAACTTCAACATTCACCTCTCTACCGGTATTCCACCCATCCTCCTCCAAATCTCAGAGGACCATTGCTGACTGTGAGAGGCTTCACCTAATTCCTGAAGGCTAAAATTCATCACTGTCAACAGACTGCACATTACCAGCCCATCTCACTGCTCACGAGCCATTATTTCCATGCTCCAGCCCAGAGGTTGAGGCATTTCTCAGGGGAGCAAACCACCCATAGTGGTTGCACTTTCCAGTGAAAACTCACATTTAAGTCCTCAACACCACAGACACTTGGTCTCGCCTTTCTTTTATGCTCTCATTTGATGAGAACATTTAGAAACTGCTGTGTGGCCAGAATGCAGGTGTTCTGTGTGCAGTGGGTACCATCCTTTTTCGAGGCCCTAAGACCTTTCCAGGATAAAGAAGACATTTCCCCTCTCCCCTAGCGAAGTACAAAGTTCATCTCACAGCATTTAATCATGGAGGATTTGATGCAGATACAGAGTTTAGGTGAAGATTTAACATCTTGCTGGAGTATCTGTTCTTCTTTAGCCATAAAACAAAGGCTGGAAGGCAAATGCTCTGTGATCAGGGGGAGATAGGAACAGATAACATAACATCCCATCTGGTTATGAGTTTGTAACTGGGAAGCACAACCAATTCATTCAGTGCTCTCCATTGGCAAACCCCAGGCAGGGACATCCCATATGGTGGATAATAAACCTCTGGGATTGCTCATATAGCCATGACCCATGGTTCACTCATCAGGGGCACGTGTTGTCCTCAGCTTTATGGTTTGCTGCAAACCAACTCGTCTGTTTCCTCCTGCAGCAATCGTTTGCCCAAAAGCCTGTTTCTTTCTTAATAGGACTGAGTTTTGAATAAAATAATATTGAAGTGCACTACTGATCACAGGAGATGGATTTGGCAGTGGTGCTGTGGAGATGGATCCCATGCAGATATCACCTGAGGTGAGCTTTCTTTCCCAGGACTGTTGTTTCTTCACAAGCTGTCCCCAAAGCAGTTGCTGTATTGCGGGTTTTCTGCAAGTGGTAATTCAAAAGACCTGTCTGACATGCACTTTTTTCAAAGAGTTCTTGAAATTTCTGGGGTGTTTTTCTGTCCACCTGAGCCATGTTCTTGTCCCATCACAGCTGGACCCTCATTAATCATTCCCCAACGGAGATGAACTCAGCAAGCTACAAAATGCAGTTGCTGGGCAGCCACTCTTGCTATTTCACTCAGAGCAAAGCTAGAAATTCCTCTGGTGCTTTTTCCTCCAGCTGGTGGATGCATTTTCTGTACCGTATCCAAATCTCACACCTGCCCAGCAGTGTGGTAAACACAACAGCCACGTCGACCCCGATTTGGGTGTGAGCACATCAGGCACCAGACTGCAACGCAGGGGCTGGGTGTAATGTCTTAGCTGTCAATATCAGAGTGGATCCATCTTCCTCCAGAAGGCTGGGTAGTAGAGAGTGAAATGGCCAGGTCCTTTGTGGCTTGATGAGGGAGGAATTGAACACCCAGACAAAACCCATGCATCACTGATAACAGAAAACAAAAGGGAAAGAGTAAGGTGGCCTCAAGTGAGCAATATGCATCTTCATCCAACTAACACATAGGTGTGTAGCTAGACACAGACTGCAAAGATTACACCTGCCATTTGGTAGGTGTTAAAGCCATGACACCACAGATGACTTGGGGATGATTTCAGATAGCCATCTAATGGAAGCTCACACTAAGATAAGGAAACTAGGAAGGTGAATATGAATCACAATTCCATTCATAGGAAAACACTAACTGGATAGATAGAGATGGTGTGATTCCTGCATTAGCAAGAATGAGATAAACTACTGAATCTATATCTGATATCCATGCTGTTAAAACATGTTGTCAACAGGAAAAGATAGACAAAGACTTGCAAGGATGAGTCAAGGTTTGGAAAGCCTACCTGTCTGTGACAAACAGAGGGGTCCCATCTTTCAGTTTATTAAATTGAAGTGCATGAGTAATATAAAAATCTATCCACATTGTGAAGATTGCTGATAGTAAAACAGTGTTCAATTTGGACAGATCAGGATCCAGTGGTAGGAAATTGAAGCACCGAATACTGAGTGCAAAAATGATGCACAATTCATAGTGGTGTTAGCAGTTTAAGTAGTGCTCAGCTTTTGGCTAGAATCAATAGGGAATTAGGCATGTTGTAGCCCTGTGATGTGCACATCGGAAGCATTGGATATCAAACAGAAATCCTGAGCCCTGTGGACCAAGATTTGGGTGGCTCCAGAGCCCAGAATTGCTAGCAGCCTGAGACAGCAGTTTAGGAATGAAATTTGGGGTATGTGCTCCTAAACTGTGCATTACACCCAGAGGCATGGCACCCATCCTTCCTTATCTGTTGCCTTGGTGGCCCCTAATTCTTTGGCTGGCTTCAAGGAGGAGGAAACACTAAGTTCAAAGTTCACATCTCAGGAAAAAAAAAAAAGCAAGGTCAAGAGACCTCGTGGTGTGGAAGGTCAGGGTGGCCTACTCTAAATCCCAATAATTGGGACTGTACCCTTCTCAGAGGGCACAATCTGCTGCCACATACCCTGCCACCACACATCATGAAGGCTTACCTGCAGATCTCTGATATAGAAGTTAAGGACAAATGGAAGCCAGAAGTGCCGTCTCAGTCTTGCGGCTCCACCATGGATAGCAGTACAATTCTCTTCATTTTGAGAGGTAATTTGCTTCCACAGATTGCCTCTGTCTCTGGAGAAAGACACTGTACCAGGGGGATGTAATGGAAACTGTGATGGAAATGCGTTTTCTTCCTGTTTTCTGCATGTCTGACTTACATGCAGTCATTGAAAGAACTGTCAGCAACAAGAGTAGAGCCATCCTCCAGTGCACGTACTAAGAACTACCCACAGGACACCTCTAAGAAACGATCACTATTCATTCACCAATAGCTTTGGGCCAGAATTCAAACTGATGAGATCACTTCTGTCATAAATCTAATTGGGCACAGCACTTGAGAGAGGTGCTGGACCCTCATTCAATGTCCTCTTTACTCATGTTTTCCTGGAAACACAAGTGACAGCAGTGATGCGTGATAGAGATGCCATTTGTTTTCCTTTACTAACCTCTGTCCATGCTTTCGTGAATCTCCAAGCCACGTACAATCTCCGAATCACATCCCCATCTCTCTTTCACTGCTCCAGGAAAGAAAGCTCAAGAAATAATTAACTTTACCAATTCCTGTAAAATCACTTGTTTTTCTTGGCCCTGGAAGGCAGGAGCTGGTAACACTGTCTGTGTGTTAGTGACAACAGCTTGGATCTTTTGCCTCCTTCTGCTGTTGTTGCAAATGGAGGACAAGATTGCCTTGTCTGATTGTCACAAGCAGAGATATGCAAGTAATTGTTTTCTTGGTTCGGCCAGCGATCCAGAAAAAAATAATTGTTTGAGGTTGACCTGAAACCAGAACTTTGCAGAATTTTTGGTAAAGTGAAACAGATTGTACTGGGTTAAAATGTCAGATGAAACACTAGTTCTGATAAGAGGTGAATTATTTTGTTTGGGGGATGTTCCTTCTCATCTGACTTAAGATGGATGGAGAGGGGAGTTTTATTCCATGGCTTCTCACCTTGCCCACACTGGAAAACCAGAGCTATAGGCTGGATGCACTCAACACGCACTGAGCTATGAGATGGGAAGGACAGAGCCTTATTCTGCCAAACTTACCTAATGTGCTGAGCTCTTAATCATAGGAATAGCAGAGAGCCCCTTCTGATGCACAGGCATGTGTCAAAGTGATGGGGGCCCTAACAGGTTTCATCTGCCTGAACATCGATGCAGAGCAGAGATGTTTCCATTTGAGTAATCATCTAGAGTCCCATTATGGTCAACAGTGAGTAATCATCACTGCCAGAAAGCCATCCGTCTTGCTTTCAGGGAGATACCTATGTATGCAAAAGTAGTGACTTGCATGCTAAAACTTGTATTTCTTCTCTAACTTGTGCACACGCCTAGACTGTAGAAGTGCAAATTTGGGCTGACAAATCTCTTTCCCTTATTCCTTCCCTAGATTCCAGCTTTACTCCTGCAACATCACTGAAGAACTGGGCAGTTGCCTGGAGCTGCAATGGGTACACATGGGAGGGATGCATTCCCCTACAGACATGCCTGCACACCCAAGCACAGGCACAACCTTCTACGTCTCCAGTGTCTGACATTTTGGAAACTGCTCTTCTGGAGAGCTGTCTGCTGGTCCTGAGCTTCTCTGCGTACTCAGCTTGAAAAAGGAGATGAAAACAAAGAAATAAACGAAGAAATGGAAACCCCAAGCACATATTATTTTCTCCTTTCCTTCCTTTTTTTCTTATCATACTCCCAGGAAATGAAAACACTCTTCTGTCTTCCTCTGTGAGAGAAGTCTCACAAGAAGAGAATGGATTGGCAGTGTTCTAACAAAGGCATCTTTTGTGGATAGCCTTCCCTCATCTGGAGCCTGACCTTCCTCACTGTATCAATGAACATACAGATGCTATAAATAAGAAACACACCTGAGAGTTTGGCTAAGCAGGCTATTATACCAAAAGAGAATAGATAGAGTGCTTACCTGTATCCTGGGCTCACTGTAAAACTCCAAAGGAGGGATCTCCAAAAGAAATCTTTCCTGCCTGGCAGTCAGCTCTTAAATGGGTCTAGAAGAGATGGAGCCAGGCTCCACCCCTTCTGGTAGCACAGGTGAGTTGCCTTCACCTGTGCTGCCATGGCTGACTCATGTTGCATTGTCTCCTGCTACAGACTCATTGCTCCTCAGGTGGTCAATCAGGAGTTCAGGCCATGATTCAGCAGTTCCCATACACTCACGCATGATAAAATAATTTTTAAAATGGCAATTTTTCAGAGTCTTTAAGAGGACAAAATAATGATGTATGGAGAATGTCCCTACGTGTGTCCTTCAGTTCCCAGCACCAACTACCACAGATTTCATCATGAAAGGATTTTACACTTGAAAGGAAGAAGAAAGGAATTAAAAAAGAATTCAGACTAATTTGCTGACTAAATATTTACTAAAATAGAAAGCAGCAATAAAAGTTAAAAGCTGCCTGAAATTAAGATGCAAATTGGAGAACTAGAAAAATGCAGAGGCTGAGGTGGAAGATTTTACTCCGTCCCAGCTTATGAACAGACCCAGATTTTTCATGGAATCAGATTTTTCTTCAAGGCTAAAGCAGAAATAAAAGTGGAAATTTTGGAAAATTAGAAACTCGGAACTAAATTTGTTTTGGGTACAATCAAAATGTGTTTGACAGCCCCCAAGCATTTCAATTTATAATTGGAATCATCTTTTGTTTTTGTTTTTGTTTTTGTTTCCCCCAATTAACCCAAAACTATAAAAAGCACAATTATTGGAAACCAAAGAATGTGGCGTTGCCCAAACGTCTTAATAAATGCACGAGCTGCAAAACAAATGTGGTTTTGAAAAACATCTCTGTGTTGATGCATTTACATTTTGACTGAATGAGAGTAGCCCTACGAAATTTCAGCCAATTTCCTCTCTGATATTCTGCCTCCTTAATGCAACCATTTAATACTGATTTAAAGTCTGTGAAATGAGGAGGATGAAGAGCCGATATTTCCCTGTAACCTTTCATTTTTTTTCTGTTCTGATTTCAGCCCATTTGATCCAGAGCATCACAGATTTCAGTAGCATAAGGGATTTTTTTTACATTTATTTTCATAATTTAATGTTTGTTTTAGAAAAAGGAGGGGAGGGAGAGCTGCCAGGGCTTAATCATGCAGCAATCTCAAATCTTTCCATGACTGGGGGAGGAAAGGAAGGTTTGGCATCTTTGCTGCAGTGCTAATTTACATTGAGGAGGATTTTTACCCTTCGCAGCTAAAAAAGATGAAGTGCTAACTTCCAAAGTGACATTTTGGAATTTGTGTGGAGGTTCTCACGCTGCCAAGGCTGCAGTTAACGCTCTGCCTGTTTCTTTTATTAAGCTGAGGATGGCAAATTTGTCCAGAGGGACAAATGCTGGGGGGCTTAACATAGGGAGAGGAACTTATCCCTGCATATAAATGGATATCATAGTGTTAGTCTCCACTCTGGATGCCTGGGAAGCAAAGCATGCTGATCACAAATGCAGACGTTCCTCTGCTCTGCTCTGCAAAGCAGGTACCTCTGTCCCCTCCAAAGGGCATTTCTCACCTTTCTGAGCCAAAAGCAGCAAAGACAAACAGCTGTGCTTACCTGCAGGGTGGCAAATGCTCCAACCTCCGCAGATGGGGCTGTTTCACATCTCTGTGCCCTGTGTTACGACTTGGTTTCTCAGCTATGCTGCAGGATATCTGTGTGGATGTCTAAGTGATATTTGGGGTGTGTGCACAGTGAAACATGCCCTTATTCTACCGTTCTGCCTGGGAAAAGGTTAGATACAGCTTTTATGACCAGGCTTCAGGCTGTGATTTAAACCACTTGTGCACCAGTGTGACAGGTTTGCTGCATGGTGCTGCCTTCATCCCACTTCCACAAGCTCCCAGCTTTTCTTAGCAAGCGTGGCCAGGAGTATGTATTAGTGTGTATGCATGTGTGTGTCTATGTACTCATGTGTGACAGCAAGGGGAACATTCTCTTCTGTTCCTGCTGATGCAGCCCACTCTCCTTTGCAGTCTCCTTGGAAATGAGGAAGGCTGAAGGCTTGGGACAGCAGCTTTATTAGTCCAGGTGGTTTCTTTCCAGTTACAATTCAGGAAGCATTACTTCTCATAACATGTTAATGAGGAGCCTGAGCAACGTGCAATACCGGCATGGTGTGGCTCTTGCAGCTCCTGCTCCTGCCAGCCCAAGCCCTATGCCATGAGTTTGTGCATTGCACTCAGCTCATGGGTTGGAGAGGCTCGTGTGGAACAGTGAGCAGTGGTCATTTCTCCTTCACTTCCACAAATAAGTACAGAAGGCTCCTCTAATATTATATATTGATGGGTTACAGGCTGTGGTACAGCAGAAAAGCATGGTCTTGGGTGGAAAAGGAGCTCAGAACTGTGTTTTATATTCCCTGATAGAGGGTAGAGTTTTTTCCAACTTTTGAATAAGGGCTTTAGAGCTTTTTAGAAGTAATGATGGGAAAGAGAAGAGGGGCAAGTGTGCTGTGGCATCAGGAACATTAGGTTCCACATACAGTGTTTATGAACTGTACTCTCAATCCACTCCCTTCCTCCGTGTCCCTCAGGTGAGCTGGATCTGAATGTGACACACACATCGTTTCGAGGCCAGGAACATGTCAGGTTTGGATAGACATTTTCCTTCCCTCTGCTGGAATGGGTTGGTTGCAGGAGGGATGTCATGGGGGGTTGCACAAGAGGAGGAGTGTGACATTTTCCCTCCAAGGCTATTTTGAATTTATAGGGGAAAAAAATCCCAAACTGAAAGACAACTACACAGGACTCCTTAAATGCTTACAAAAGCTCCTGTCTTCCACACGCCTCAGTTCCAAGCCCAGCCATGGGGGACTGGTGGGAAGTCTAGGCAGATGAAGGAGCTTGCTTGTTTCATGCATGGCTGATTGAGCTGCCCCAGCTGATTGAAGGACACCTTGAAGAAATTGTTTTTGTATTCTCCTCATCAGGACATCGTATTAGTTAAGGCTGGTCAGTTGGCCTTGCATGAGAAAAGAAGACAAAAGAAAGCAAAGCCTCTGTGGATCCTCTTCAGTTCTGCTCAGTCCTTCAGTGCTAAGGAGATGCTCCAGGAAACCTGCTGCAGACCCAGAGGAACCAAAAGGTGACCTAGGTGTGGAGAAGTGCTCAGGAAGGCAAGGAGATAAGAGAAAATCTGTTATTTCTTTGCACCAGAGTATGGAGACATTCCTTCACTGGGACATTTGGATAGCGGAATAGACAAGTCAGAGCAACAACCTCACATTGAAGTGTCAGCAAAGGGGATTTGAGGATGAATTGATTAAGTGAATAATGACAGGACCAGATGGTATTCACACAAGCACTGTAAAGGGGCTCAGATATGAAATTGCTGAGCTGCTCACTGCGGCTGGTAACCTATCGCTTAAATTAGCCTCAGCACCAAAGGAATAGGAGGTGGCAAATGAGATGCCAAGTTTTACAACCAACTCCAGGGGAACGTGGGGAAGCACGGAGCAGAAAGTCTGACTTCCGCACTGGGAGAAGTGGTAAAGGTTATAAATTAGCAATCATGGATGTAGAGTGGGAAGAAATCCTTCAGACATTCATCGAAGCTCTTTGAAGGAACTGACAGGCATGTAGAGAAGGGTGATGCAGCTCGATGTACTGCACATGGATTTCCCAAATGCATCTTTCATGCTCTCTCATTAGGAGATCCTCAAGAGCTGGCTGCCTTCGTGTAAGTGGGAGCATGTCACAGGTTAAAGGAGAGGAATAAAGAGCAGGAGTAAGTGAATCTGGCTTGCCAGTAGAGTTCCCCAAAGGTCTGTGCTGAGATTTTAATTGTATGAAGTTCCTAAACTGCTTGAAAAGCAAGCAAATCGAAAGGAGACTGCATTTGCATATGATATTCTCTTCCTCAAAGCAGCCAAATCTGAAACAGTGAAGAAATGAAGCAGTATTTGACCATACAGAAGGGCTGCGAGCTACATAGCACATACCAGTGTTATAAAGGCAAAATAAAGCACATGGGAAGATCAATCCTTCCTACATTAGTAGTGTGGCAGGCTGTAAATGGACTTTTGCTGATCAAGGAGAAGAACTTGACATCACTCTAAAGGCATTAGCACACTGATCAGCAGGAGGTGAGGGTTTAGGATAGTTTAGGAAAGGGCAGTGAGGATTAAGAGAGGTACAGGTCAGCTCTCATGAGGGAATAGATTCCTTCAGTTTTGCAAAGAAAGGATTTGATGGCAGAGTGTGGTGCGGGGTGAAGCCCAATGCAGAATGTTTGTTGTCACCAGTTGTCGAGGCAGGGTTAGCCCAAATTGCCTATGATAATACCAATGTGGTTCTGTTTTGATTTTAACAGAGGTGCTGGGAATTGTCATGTTATAAAGTGTGACAAATCTAAACTTCCACATTGATGGAGGCACTGCTGATGGGATCCAGCTCATCACCTGGAGATGGAGCTGTGAAAGTTACATGTCCCAGGGCTGTTCAGGACCATGCTTCATAGTCCAGGGAAAGAAGTAGGTTTGGGACATGGTTCACCAACACTTCCATCAAGCAGGATCAGCTAAATAGGATACAGCTATATGATATCCCTTCCAGTGTGGAAAGAGTCTATCTGTGATTTGACTGCATGGCTTTGAGTGTGTTGCTTAAAAGCAAAGCAAGTAAAATCTAACTCTCCTGGTACATGATCTCACTTTGGCTCCATTGCCACAGAGCAGAGATGGCAACAGTTCCTAAAAGCACATCCACCTTGTAGCCACACTGTAACTGGGGTGGGGGTGATGGTCAGATGGAAGGGGCCCAAAGGACAGTAACAACCCCCAGCTCAGGAGAACAGCTTTGGTAGAATCATAGAATCATGGAATCACTGAGGTTGGAAAAGACCTCTAAGATCCCCAAACCCAACCCCACCCCACCCTGCCTACTGACCACATCCTTCAGTGCCACATCTCCACAGCTCTGAAACACCTCTAGGGATGGTTTCTAAACACAAGTGACTTT